ATGCAGTGGACTGACTGGCAGCCCCTAGAGGTCCACATCTTAGTTCTGGAACCTGTGACTATTACTTTATTTGGACAAAGAGTTTTTGCAAATGTAATTAAGGATCTTGAGATGATGAGATCAACCTGGATCATCCAGGAGAGTGACAAAAGTCCTTATAGAAGACACACAAGGGAGAAGGCATACATAGAAAAGAAGGTAACATGAAGACAGAGGTGGAAATTGGAGTGAAGGAAGCTGGCCACCACCAGAAGAGACATTGAAAGAGTCCACCTCTATCTACAGCCTTTGTAGAAACATCTGGAATTTGGCTATGTGGCCACCAGAACTGTTAGAGAATGAAGTTCAGTTGTTTTAAGCCACCAAGTTTGTGGCAATTTGTTATATCAGCACAGGAAATACACAGCAGAGGAGCATTAACATAGAATAAAGAAGGAATTAAAAAATGTATAGGAGGATTATACTGTATGATATATATGATATTTAGATTCCTCTTCCAAAACTTCTACCACATTTTTCAACATTTAAAAAAATTTATCCAGAAATCTAGAAGCATTGATTCTATTCCTCACAGCCTCCCAAAGGGAAATTTTAGGATCATTACTACTTCAGATGTTTAGCATTTGAAATAAATTCAGTGAGAACATTTCTCCTGTGGAAATTACGTTGGAATTAGTAAAATTTCAGAAAATTACAGACTAAAATATTTACAAAAGTGTCTGACAAATTACCTAGTCCACAGAGTATTAGTACCTTTTCTTTTTTCAGCCCTTTCTTTTCTGTTATTTTTCCACATTACAAGCAAGCATAGTGAACCTTCTATATATCCCAAATTAATTTATATAATAGAGAACAAAAAAGTATATCCCTCCAAAAAAATAATAAAAGCAAGAACTGCTAAAATGTATCCCTCTTAGTATATACAAAAATAAAAGCAAGAGCTGCTAAAATGTATCTCTCTTAGGATCTAAGGGTCTATGTTTCTTATTTCATATTTTTAGCTTTGCTATTTTCTTTCCCTAACACAAGATGTAAAAGAACTTGGCAGAATGGTGTGCCTCCCTTTTATTGGAAGAAACTTATGCATAGTCTCCAGGGTTTTTGCTTTTTTTTTTAGAATGAACCTGATCTAATCTTCCAGTTCATTCACCCTCATGCCTGGAAAATAAAAGGAATTCCTGGAAAAGAATACACAGAGAGTGGTTCCATCCTGATGTCACCTGCGCTTTTGTGCCCAGGCTTCTGTAGCCAATTGCATACATAATACTTGCTTCAGTAAATGGTACCTGTAGGAAAACAACAGAACTTCAGGCTTGATTTCTTCCTGGAACTCACTGCAGTAGAACAGCAGACGATTAGGCTTTTATTTTCTTTCAAACATTGCTTGGGCTGTTTTCTTGGAAGCAATGCAGATTAATTATTGCTCAGTGTTTACGAATCACACGCATGAAGAGAGACAATATTCTCCAAATGTTTAATTTAAGCTTTGGTGGTCCTCTGAAACTCTGCCAAATGTCACTTCTATTTGTTAATGAAAGGAAATGTTAGTGCAAAATAACCCAAGTCTATAAATCAAAGCTCTTTCAAATTATTTTTGGAAGGGTTAATGATGTTTTTATTTGCAATTTTTTTTTATTAAACACATTTTGGTCTGATGAGTTTGCCTTCTCTATAGACAACAGATTCTGGCAAAAAGAATATGTTTAAAAAATGTATAAGACTTTCACCAAGTTGGCATCAGAAACTACCAAAATGTCCAGTTAAAAAATCTCAAATTATAATTAGTTTCATTTGTTTTCTCAAGTTACACCATTACATGGACATTATAATTAATATATTAATATAATTAATAATTAATATGCTTTCTCTATTTCATGTTTGTTTATGCAACCATTCTTTGATCAACCACACTGAATACAAAGTTGACAGAAAAAAGCCTTTGCTGACACCTTCCTAAATTTTACTCTTGACTTTGTCTGAGTACCTAATTCTAGGAGTATTAAATTCTCTTTCAAGCCCTTCAGAGGGCTTGAAATAGCTGAGGCAGATTGGCATAAACACACACACACATATGCATGTACATGCATTCAAGAATATAGAAATTTACTTTTTGAGGAATCTCCATACTGTTTTCCATAGAGGTTGTACTAATTTGCAGTCCCACGAACAGTGTATAAGCATTCCTTTCTCTCTGCATCCACACCAGCATCTATTGTTTTTTGACTTTTTAATAATGGTCATTCTGACAGGGGTAAGGTGATATCTCATTGTGGTTTTAATTTGCATTTCCCTGATAATTAGTGGTGTTGAGCATTTCTTCATATGTTTCTTGGCCATTTGCCTATCTTTTTTGAAAAACTTCTGTCCGTATATTTTGCCCACTTTTTCATGGGGTTGTCTTTCCCTTGCTGATTTATTTGAGTTCTTTGAAGTTTCTGAACATTAGCCCTTTATGGGATGTCTAGTTTGCAAATATTTTCACCCATTCTGTGGTTGTCTATTTACTCTGTTGATTATTTCCTTGGCTGTGCAGAAGCTTTTTAATTTAATCCAGTCCCATTTATTTATTTTTGTTTTAGCTGTATTTGCCTTTGGGGTCTTAGTCATAGAAATTTAGGAAATAGTGATAGGATAAAGAAATGAATATGAAAACTTTCAGAGCATAAAATTCCCCAAGCCTTCATATTAATCAGAGGCCACAGAGACAGCCCTTGAACATTTTGGGTAGCTTTGAGCAGTTCAGAATAAGACAGGAGATAAAATGCAATCATGACTATAATCATTAAGTCACACTCTCTTCTTTCTATACTACCCTACACATTTTGCCTGAGACTTCATCAATTCATTATTGACATTTCTTACAACCCATACTACTGTGGTCAGTGGATCCACTGTTCCATCATAAATAAATCTTGCTTCATCCTCAAACTTGACACAGATGGCTTTTTATATCCCCTTGTCCTGTATATCTCCTTGTCCCTAAAAGATAGTATTTTTCCTTTTGCCATCTTCAGTGGTGGCTGATCATTCTCCCCCACATGTGTCAGTGATGAACAGTGCTGGCATCTTCCTTTTAGATGACAGAATACTCTTCTTCTATACCCTAATGACAGTCTGACCATTGGACCAACAATTTATTCTTTGTAACTAACTCCTCCGTGACCTCCCATTCTTCCTGCCCCTGGACCCATGCCTGGCCTTTTGATGTAGTATCTGCAGAGCCCTTGAGCACCTTCCCTTTTGTGCTTCAAGGAGTAAACTCGACTCGGATTATTGCCACAATTGACCTTGTCAATACTACGCCCTCCCAAAACTGAGAAATTCTGAGTGAGATAAAAATATATCATGTCAAAGAGTGACCAAGGTTTAAAAAAAAAATAATATATATATATATATATCATGCTTTTTCAGATATTAGCACTTCTCATTTAAACATTTATTTTAGCATCTCCCACTTCTGAATCAGCAGGTTTCCCAGTTGAATATATCTCTCCAGATTTCCTTCCTCCAGCGTCCATTTCTACCAACAATACCAATTATCTTCTAAATTCGGAAGCTGATTGAAAATTTCCAGCCTTTATCTCCACTAGGATTTTCTAAATGCTTTGTGAATAGTATTTTTGGAATCACATCTTTTTCCCCAGTGTCCTCCTTGTCAGTTTTCTTTATCAATTCTACCTGCTCATCCCTCCATTTGATTCTCTTGGAGCATCTCTCTCCCCAGCCATTTTCTCTGCCACATTCTTCCTCCAGGTGGTTCTCTTCAGAGTGCAACGATGTCTCTCTCTCTTTTAACTCCTGTGCTGGCCTCGCTCCTGATTTCCAGACCTATTTAATGAGTTATACTATCTGGAATTTCCACAGACACCTGAAAACCACAAGTTATTCTCTTGTAAGAATAACTTACAAGGGATAAGTCCATCCCACTTAGCTACCCAGACAAACTGTATCAATAGGGTTCAATCAGGAAAATGAATGCAGACCAGACCATAAATTTCAATATAGGAAATGTATTGTGAAAAGTTATAACAAAATTGTTAGGAGATCTGAGAGAGAAAACCATCAGACACGGTGGCACATCCAGAGTTTGGCAAAAGAAAACAGCCATGAGTCAGAGCTACCAGAAGGCAACTTTTGTTTTTATTATTTTTTCATAAAAATTGAATTATTTTTATCTTTCAATTGTTAATATGTAGTGTTCGATTTTTCTTTTTTTATTTTAGCGTATTATGGGGGTACAAGTGTTAAGGTTACATATATTGCCCATGCCCCCCTCCCCCCTCAAGTAAGAGCTTCAAGCGTGTCCATCCCCCAAATGTTGCACATCTTACTCGTTGTGGTTGTTTTAGAACAGAGGGAGGGCTGTCATGGGAACTCTCCATAGGCATGGAGAAAACATGCTACCAGGGTCACGTGCTGCCAGAAGGAAGTGGGAGAAGATATGTGCTGGCTTTTTCTTTTCTCTCCATCCTCCATTCTCTCCATTGCCACCCCTCACCTCCACTGGCCAGAGCTAGTGAGCCAGGGAGCCTGAGACATGTGCAGAGATCAGACCCTTGGGATTCAGAGCAGAGCAGATGAAGGGCAAGAAATTGGTTTGGGAGCAGCTGTGTAAGTGACCAGCAACTAGCAACCATTGCAATTCCAGCCAGGGCCTTTCTGCTGGCCACTTTCTGGTTTGGAATATCTTGGCCCAATCTGTGATTGCTCCCATGTACTTTCTCTGATACCCCCAGACAGACTCTCTTTCCTTCTTTCATATGTTTTTTCTTGTTCTGTCTTTAACAGTCTATTAAAATATGTTTGCTGAATGTGCCTTTTTCTGCTGGGTGAATGTTTGCTATTTCTAAATACTAATGTGTGGTTCATGAATTTCAGTAAAGCCAAAAAGTAAACATATTGAGCTTTGTCCTAAAATAATGACACTCAGATCTAATATAAGCAAGTACAATTATAGAGACCCCTTATGTCTTATCTTCTCTTAGCTACATACAAAATGCTCTTTTTCCATAATGCAAAACAATCTAATTTTTAGTCTTCCTTTATACTAAGAGAATTAAAAATAAAACTTTTGTACTCTGCCATCTATTCCTGATATTATGGTTTGGGAACACACCTAATTCACAGCTGAATGTGCCCCTCAAAATTAATATGTTAAAGCTTAATCATCAATGTGATAGTATTGAGAGGTGAAATCTTCAGGAGGTTATTAGGTCATGAGGGCAGAGCCATTGTGGATGGGATTAAGTCTCTTCTAAAAGGGCTTCCAAACAAGAGATGACATAGCATTTCTCCTCCCGGGAGGGTGCAGTGACAAGGCACTGTCTGAGAAGACGTCAGCAGCCCTCACCAGACACCAATCCTGCCAGTGCTTTGCTCTTGGACTTCCCAGCCTCCAGAGCTATAAAGAAATAAATATTTGTTCTTTATAAATCATCCAGTCTCTGGTATTTTATTACAGCTGTACACATGAACTAAGACAGGAGGCAAAGTAGTTTACTGAGATGTAGATAGATTTAAAAGCCAGACTTTTAGGCACAAATCCATCATTACCAACAAGTTACTTTGGTCAAGTGTTTTAACCTCTATGTGTCACAGTACCTATATCTTAAGATAGAACAGATAATGACATCTATGAAATGAGGCTGTGTTGAGGCTTAGGAGACCCTCAGGTAAAAGTCTTCGAAAAGCACCTGTATGCAATATGTACTATGTAAGTGTTAACTATTATTTATTTTAATGACATTATTTTTGTCTTATATGAAGATAAAATCAGATGAGTTGTTTTCACAAAAAAAAAGCCTCTAGTAAAATTTTCCATATTGAAAATCTGTAATATAACAAAGTGGCTAATATATAATATTTAAAACATGACAACATATGAAAATATATGTACATATATGTGTTTATATATTATATACAATGTATGCATGTGGATATATACATATATCTACACATAATAGATCTAGTTACTATAAGCTTACAGTAATGGGAACTATATTATTACCTATTATGCAAGTAAACTATATGAAGGACAAACATAGAGCACTTACTCTTAAAGTCCAGTGTCATGAATGGCAGACCAGGGCCTCCTGTCCGATTAAAGACACAAGCAGAATTCAGAAGAATTTGTCTAAATGTCTGCTCTCTTTTATAAGAAGAAAAAAAAATATAGAGGTTTTTGTTTTAAAACCTAAATTTTTCATTAACAAACTCAATAGGAAACATTTATATTATAAATAGCAGGGTAAAGGATATTTGCCTTGTAGGCTCACTGCCAAAGACAAGTTAGATATAAAACAGGGAGAATGCTGTCAAACGAAGTGCTATGTGTTCTTTGAACATTTTATAGGGATTCAATTTCACCAGGTTTTAATTCCACTCTCTAATTTACTTGTCTTTTCAGATAAGGCCTTTCGGTTCCCCCACTGAAGGTTCAGCCCTATCCTACTTCTGAGTCTTCTGTGACCTCATGTTGGAGAATTCTACACCTACATACTGTGTCTGCCTCATCATTAGTCTGGGTAGTTCTAAAACCTTGGGTCTTACCTAGCGACTGGATCCTTTTCTTGGTTTGGGTATGTGACCCATGTTTTGATAACTTTAACAATATCCCACCTTCGTTAGGATGTGGGCCTGCCTTCATCTCTGTCTCACTTCCAGACATTAAATCCTTATCTTTTATGATCCCAGACTAGCACCTAAAGATTTCTCTTCCAATCATCTACTATTTTACAGGAATTTGAGGATAATAGCCACTCCTAAATTCCCTCTCTTATGTCACAAACCTATCATCACATTTGTCCTACGATCTCATTCCCGTACTCAAATACTGTCCCAATTGTAATTCTGATTCATCGAAGAACTCTGTTTTGTAGAAACAGAATGAAGAATCAGAAAGTGATGCCTGTATATATTGGGATTGGCACAAATCATTCAAATGGGCTCAATTTTTCCCACTAAATCATGTGTCAAGGTAGCTAGTCCATGAGAGGCACCCTGGGAGAAAGTGGCAAACTGGCATAAAAGAGACAGACAGCACATATACAGAAATAATCCTATCTTTATTTATTATTTTTAAAATTGTAAAGTTCCGTTTGAGATTAAAAACTGAAACAAAAATGTTAAGACAGTTATTGTCATTATTTGTAAATTAGAGTTTTATTTAGCAGCAAAGAAGATAATGACCTCAAGGATTTCCCTTGACCTTGGAATCCTCATTATAACATATTTCTATCATACAGGGTGCCCCAAAAGTCACCATACATAGAGAAAAATGGGAATCTGTAGCTAAATGTATCTTTACTTACAAAACATTCATTACAAAATTAAAAAATTTTTTCCTTTGTATGGCGACTTTTGGAACACCCTGTATTTTCACAGTTCTGTATCTATTTTGTTTTGTTGTTTAATTTTTAAGACATTGGGAAAAGAGTCCAATTTGAATTCTGTGCACTTTGTAACTTTGTGATTAACTTTTGTGGCCTAGAAGGAGGAAGACCATGAAAGCAAACCACCACAATTGAGAGCCACTGAAAATGAAGGTAGGAAACTGATTTCTGTTCTCCTGCCCTTATGTTTATAAGTGAATCAGGCTATAAAGTAGAAAAGCTTCCAGAAGAAATACCAGCAATGGCTGCCACCAAGTGACACACATGAACTGGTGCATTCGGGAGACAGGATTTGTGAAAAAGGTGTGTTGGGGCATTAATGTCATTTTTCCTATCAGAAATTAATGCTACGTGGCATTCTTTGCCCTTGTCAATATTGTCCAATTTAGTTCCTATGGCAGCGGTATTTTATTGCCTTATAGTTAAAAAAAATTAAAAAGAACTTTCAAAAATTAACACTGTCTCATGGAACCACATCGCCATAGAGTCGACTGCTCTAATTCAGGCCCCAAATGCATCTTTGGAATTCAATCTACAAAACCTGATTTATTATGTTTTTTGAGGTAACCAGAAACCTAAACCTTCTCCATGTCTTTGGTGCCATATTAATAGTGTTATGATTAAAGAAAGCATAAAAAATGGTCTGTATAATATCAACGGTCATTTTAACAGTCTCTCAAGAACTGTTAAAAAACAAATAAACGAAACCAGCTTTCAGCAAATTAGCTATAAGGTTTCCAAAGAAATCAAATGATTCATCCTTAATCAAACTTTGGGGACAGATTTGAATATAGACTCTCTATCCATTTGCTTTGATCCTATGTACAAAGCCATACATTTTTATGATGAAAGGAAATCTGCTATTTATGACAATTTCCTCCAAATTCTGTTGCTGCATATTTGCCCTTCTATAAACAACTCTCTTCACAAATTCATTAAGCACTTTTCATTCCAAAAAGGAAAATAGGCTTTTGTCTGTCTTCTCTATTTTAAATCTTTAAAGAATCGTGAAATTACATATATATTGCAAAACACTTTATGGTATATTAAAATATAAAAATTAACTTCATAGTGTGTATTAATAGGTATATTCTGAAAAGTACAATATGTGCACATATGATAAAGTTTTATGTGTTCGAAATAATCAGATGGTAGCACTTCATTTCCCTTTTTCTACTATAAATATTTGTTGTTGTTTTTTTTAATAGTTTTCAGTACCTTCATAAGAAGTGGTCAATGATTGTCTTCTGTTCTGAGTAAAGGGCAAGTTGGGCTCTCTCTCTCTGAATATGCAAAGTACAAAACAAAACAATGCAGATTACGGGCATTAATTATCTGAATTTAAAGTCATATGAATTTTTAAACAAGGTTTAAAATCTGAACGACATTAAAGGAAGATAAAAGATCTTCAAATCTATGAAAACAAAACACCTAACTAAATACTGATTTTATTGACATCTCCATTTTCTCTACCAAAATTCCTCCTCGAGACACACACTGGACAATGATTGTTCATAGTGATGTAATGATCCACTTTTAAAAGACCTATGGCAGTTTGCAAGCAATTCTAAGGTGATAATGAGATAGTTAGAATTTATGGATGATGAATATTTTTCTTAATTGTGGAAAAGTATTTTCCAAATGCCAGATGACAGATGCACGCTCACCCCTCCCCTGTCTTCTTTCTTTTTCAGTTTATAGTGTTACTTTGGTGTCTTCAAATCTCCTATTACCCAGGGAAAAGACAACTTTGACATTTCACTTAATTTTCTATTCACCCATTCAGATCATTAGCATGATCATAGTTAGGATGCTCTGACTATCAAGTAATCCTTGTCTGTGTTATATCTTCCAATGGTGGGTATGGAATTGGTAACAGCGACAAGCACCTGTCTTTTCCTCACTGACTATGGTGAGGTTGAAAGGTGTACAATGCATACTAAACTAGATGAGTCTGGGAAATCATCCAACTATTAATATTTTTGCCACAACCAATAAAAACAAGTGTCAAAAAATAATCTTATCATAACCAAAAAAAAAAAAAACCCATGGAAGAAATTCTATTTCTACCTTCACAGAAGTGTGGTGATACTTATGAGTTGTTCATGCAGAACAAGAACTTACAGGAGAAGAAAATTATATCTATATGAGAATGTACAGACTGTCCTGTGTTGCTTCAATTGGAGAGATATTCTGTGAAATGCATCATCATTGTGTGAACGTCGTAGAGTGTGCTCACACAAAGCTGGATGGTATATAGCCCATTACACACCTAGGCTACATGGTATAGCCTATTGCTCCCAGGCTACAAACCTGTACAGCATGTCACTGTACTCAATGCTGCAGACAATTGTAAGTATTTGTGTATTTAAATATACAAAAGGTATATTAAAAATATGGTATAAAAGATTCAAACTGGTATACCTGTATAGGGCAGCTTCATTTAGGTCCTGTAGGACCACTGTTGTATAGTCGTATATGTGATCTGTCTTTGACAAAACGTTGTTATGTGGCATATATATATGTATATATATATATATATATATGTATACAGACATACATACATATTCCTAATGATTACAAATTTGGAAGAAAATACCACTAGTTTTATCCTGCTGAAAGCAGAAATTAAATTTATTTATCTATTTGATAATATTTTATAAGTTTTTGTTCTTTCTTCTTCAAATCATCACATTTTTCAAATGTTTTTAATACTAAACCAAATTAGTAAAGATTCTAGCCTACCTTATGCACCTGGGACAGAATTAGGAATATTTACACTTCTTTAATGATGTCTGAGGCAAGTTTTAGGAGAGCTCTCCATTCTCTTTCACTTGTTCCTACCAGTCTACATTTAATCATAATATTCTCTTACATAAAAATTAAATACGATTAAAATTATAAAGCCTAATTAATCCCATGTTTTCCTCCAGAAAACTCCCTATCTCAGTCTTCCTCTTCACTGGCTTATAGGACAGTTCCAGTTATATAACGACAGATACTTAAGTCCCTACTTAATGGTTACAGACTGAACTTCTGTCACCCCCACTGCCACAACATGGCTCTGCCTCCTGCATTCCTCATTGCATTAAATGCTATGTCTCTCAGACCACTTGCTCGCTCCTGAAACCCATAAATTAGAGCTGACTCTCCCTCAATACCCCTATGAGCAATCAATCACCAGATCCTGTAATCACTCTTTGTATATTTCAGATACAGACTGTCACCTCCACCTTTACTACCAAAGCTTAGTAAACAGTCATCTCTTGCTGTCCTGCCTCTCTCTGGGCTTGCCCTTGCTCCCAAACCTGAGCTGCCTATTTTCAACTCAGCAGTCAGTGACCTTCTTGGAATAAATTTTAATGTTATTTCTATATGTCTCCTCATTGCCCACAAAATCAATCTAAAATTCCATTCATCCCTAATAGATTATAACTTTAGCGGTAGAAGAAGTGAAAATTTCTTATTTATTTACTAGTATATTGTATAACGATTGGCACAAAATAATATTTGCTAATTATTTTTAAATAGATGAACAGCTAAATCAAAGGTGAAACAACATTGTGCTAGGATGTATGTTTATGAACAGAGTGTGCATATGTGCCTAAGGAGGTATAGATAAATTTTATACCCTTAGGTAAACTCTAATGGCAGTAGAACATTATTTGCTGAAAGCCTAAAAGAAAATATAAGAAAATAGTAAAAATTGAAGCAACAATACAAAGTCACATGACATGACTACACAATACTGGTGTTTGCAAACATGTTATATTTCAGTGAACTAAATATATTCTCAAGTATAACAACAAGGCAAAAAAGAATACCAAATCTACCACCCAACTCCTCTGAACATTAGTGGTATGTTTTCTATACTAGAGAAAAAAAAATTGCATTTACTCTACTTTTTTTACAGTGAAATATGGCAAATACCTGAATGACTTAGTAGAGAAAATTTTGAAAGTATAGAGGATTGTGTTAATATCAAATGTATTCTACCTCTTAAAGGGTCCATTGTTAGGTGTTCCAATTCAGTAAGGCACTTTTATTTACCTTGAGAGTTCAGCAAATTTCAATGGCATGCTATGAAAACAATTTGACTCTGTGGAAACAACCCAAGTGCCCATCAATTCATGAGTGGACTAATAAAATGTGGTATATGTATACCATGGAGTACTACTCAGCTTTAAGAAACAATGGTGATATAGCACCTCTTGTATATTCCTGGATACAGCTAGAACCCATTCTACTAAGTGAAGTATCTCAAGAATGGAAAAACAAGCACCACATGTACTCACCAGCAAATTGGTATTAACGGATCAACACCTAAGAGGACACATAGGAGTAACATTTATCGGGTGTCGAGAGGGTGGGAGGGGGGAGAAAAGGAGGGGTATATACGACCACAACGAGTAAGATGTGCAACGTTTGGGGGATGAACAATCTTAAAGCTCTTACTCGAGGGGGGAGGGGGGCATGGGCAATATATGTAACCTTAACACTTGTACCCCCATGATACACTAAAATAAAAAAAAAAGAAAAAGAAAGCAGTTTGACTAAGTTCAATAATTATGCCTCGTCACTCATTAAATTTATAAAATAGTGCTTGTTACCATTTTAGAGTCATAAAACAATTGTCAAAGACTCTTCTAACAATTTGAAGATTGCAAAAGTATTTTTATAAAAATTTTCTTATGATAACTTTAGGTTTATTTAAAATATTTTTTAAAGTTCTGAAATACATATATATATATATACACATATATACATATAAATATATATATTAAAATTTGTTTTTCATGAGGTTATATTTATGTATAGCAACTAGGATCAAACAATATAGAGAAGTACAATGGCAGATAGCTGATATTCAGCCATAAAAATGGTTTATCAGTTGGAGTTCAGTAATCAAAACAGAGCCAGTAAGAATATTATGGGAACAAGGGGTTTACCATAGAAATAAAAGCAAAGTCATTAGAAGTCAGAGAAGTCATTAACCACAATACCCCCAGGTAGTGGTGTGAGTGGGCACTTCAGAGCTCACAGGAAAAGCTCAGAACCTATGGATACCTGGTAGGCCAGCCCACCCACAAAGAGGGTTTCCATAGTGACATCTGAGAAAGCAGCCATCTCTGCTCAAATATTAGATGACTGGC